ATATCCAATTCCTCCCTCCAACTTTGGAAAGAAGAAACCAACTTATCCTCTGTCATTGCGATATCACTTCTGGGAGCACAGGATCCCTTTATGACAGGTTCTACTGATTCAGGCAATTAAAAGAAAAAAATCTTTCTGCACTGGTGGAAAGCTGAAATAAAAATGAATGAATGAAAACTCACTTTCCATTAATGAGTGTGAAAGCACTTCTCAATCTGAGCAAGATGCCATTTTTTTTCTGAGAAAAATAAAATGAAAGGGGTTACTTGGAAGCAACTTTACTGAACAGTGCATGTGCTAAACATACTATAAACACCATAAAAATCATGCCTCTGTTTTCAATAAGACAGAAAGCTATAAGCTGAATAGGGGTTGAAATGGACAGTAGATACTCAGGGTTTGTTTTGTGGTTTGCTGGTTTTTCTTGTTTCTGCAATGCTATTTATTCTAGAGGTCCTTTGAATGTAGCATCTGCAAGCGCAAAAGTAAAACCAAAGATTCATATAAATAAAATAAAACAAGTGAAGGAAGGGAGGGATAATTTCCGACTTGCAAGATTCTGTTAATGTAACCTCACAATCAAAATACAGCTAGTACTCCTGGTTGTGCTTCTTGTCTGGACTACCTTGCAAGGCTAACATCAGTCTTGCAAGTCTCTAAGGACCCCTCCTTTCCTTCACTTTTATTCTCCCGAAAACTAGGGAGGGTCCCTTCTGAGACACTTTCATCACCCCTCCTCCTTCGGACTCAAATTTCGTTTATCGGACTATTGTCTAGGCTGAGGCTCTTCCTCCAGTCTCCCAAGGTCATTCCAACCTACCATTTACAGTAAAACCTTGGATTGCGAGTAACTTGTTCTGCGAGTGTTCCGCAAGACGAGCAAACATTTCTAATAAATTTTAACTTGAGCAATGAGCAATGTCTTGCAATAAGAGTAGTACGTGACGCTGAACGTCACATGATCACAACTGAGCCAATGGTGGTTCTCTCTCTCGCTGCGGGATTGTGGGTGATCGCTTTGATATACAAATGCTTTGGATCACAAGCATGTTTCTGGAACGAATTATGCTTGCAAACCAAGGTTTTACTGTACATGATGTGACTGAAGGTCTGCCTGCTTTTTTCGTGCATTGTGCAGGACACTATCCTGACATTTTTGACCACAGCCTGAGATACCCCTGTTTTGCACATTGTCCTAAGGCCTTGAATCTTCACTGCCTCCTTTTGAGAATAGCACTCCTTCTTTCATACGCCATTTTTAAAATATTTTGCTTGGAACGACACAGATTCAAGATGAATCTAAGGGAAGTCTGCGTATGTGCTTTTGACCAGCTTCTTTGCTTAACGTGATGGCTAAATAATTCTCAGGTTCTTTGTTTTCATAGGATGTTTTAAATCTAATCGGATGATATTTAAATACTGTATGTCTGAAAAAGCCCAAAATGTGCAAAAGAAAAAAAAAAGTAGCTTATTTCTATACGCCTTGATTGAGTAATGGGTAAAAAAACCCAAAGGCTCAATGTTCATTACAGAAATGGGAAATGTAATCTCTGGTTTCTTTTTACTTGGTCCAGTGGGAAATGTGGAAAAGAACTACTCGTCTCTGCATTCATTGATTTCTCCCAAATTATCACAAAAGGAGCATTTGTTTTTTCCTCTTGAGGGGGAAAAAACGGGAAAAACTTACTGGAGAAAAACTAGGGATGTCTTGCAAGTAAAATTAGAGTAGAACTGAGTTTCAACTATACCTTGTTTTTCACAAGTGTGTTCACTATGACAAATCTTTCCCATTTTCTCTCCCCCCCCTTTTTTTTAAAGCATATTTTGGAAAAATGTTGGCATATCCAGTTCAACTGCCTTTGTTTAATTATTTTTATAACTATTGTCAAACAGCTAGATTGGATTGACTCAGTATAAAATTTAGTGACTTTTCTGTGTATTCACTTGAGTGAAAGCATCCATGTGGCTAATATGGAAAGAAAACAGGAGGCGGTGAGTTAAGGAAACTAGGACATTAGGAATATTGATTAATTACAATATAGCCTGGCATACTTATCTCTAAAGTGATCTTGAGAAATCTATTCCTAGAAGATTATTCTTTTGTAGAAATGTAATGAGATGGCTGTAAATATTTGGGGAGCGAGAGTTCCACTCTGTAGAAATAATGAAGTTTGATCCTAGTATTGAAAACTGGAAAATATTTAGTGCAGTTCTTTGTCACTGGTTTAATAAAATCAAAATGTGCTCTAGCTTGAGACAGAAATGGAAGAAGATGGATATGTTACCTATAGATTAGAAACTCGTTTTCATTGATTGCTCTAAAGAAAAAATCAGGATCTTCATTTTCTTTCTTTCATTTCATTTCATTTGCTAATTCACACCCTTTATTACTCCTCTTACATTCCAAGTCACAATCTTCCATAAGCAGTCAGTATAAATATATATTGAGTCCACCCACCTATCCAGATTCTTCATATTTTTAGTAAGATAGAGATGGTGTAGACTATGTTACCAGCCTTAGTCACAACCACGTCATTTGCAGCTTTCCTTGCTAATAGTAAAGAGACTTTGGTTAGTTTTGGCATATTTTGGCCAGTGTACCAAAGCATAACCAAAGCCTTCTATTCTATGAATGATAGGAGCTGTCGTCTAGAGATGGGCTTGTAAGCTGACATATGTACAGAAAGAAAAATAGAGATGTTGTATGTCTGAAACTAAGAGAAAGGGGAAAGATATAGTAGACTTGAATGAAAGTGGCCTGATCTTGTGGAGTGAAATGGTTGGATACGTGCAGGGGAATAAAGGTGTAGATTTAAATATGAATGAAAGAATTTACCATTGCCTGTATCTCACTGATGATGAAGTACACGCAATCTACTGACACACACTTAGGATACACACTTGTTTGCTTAACAAATCATGGTTTTAAAATGGTGCCTTAGCATTATGTTAAACCTAGTCAATGAGTAGAATACTTGTACATTTTGCTATTGGCTTACAATGTGGATTTGATTAGCAAAGCAGGATGGCTAATTTCTGTGGAATGTTGAGTGTGTCCAGCACATTATGAACTTAACAGTGGAAGAAACTAAAATTGGTCTGTGGCTTCTACTCCGGCTTGTTCTAAGCATTGTTAACTCATGCAACATGATAAACTAGCCATGGGCTGATCCTGTTGGATCATTAGTTATCATTATCATCATTATCATTAATCATTAATCATCATTATCAACTCATTAGTAAGAATAATTGGAGCAGTGTGCTGCTTAACAGTACACTGCTCCAATTATTAATGCTCTTAGGTTGTGTGCATGTGTGTGTTGGGTCTCAAATATATGTATGTATAAGTGTGTACCTCTGTGTGTGGGGGGGTGTATTTATATAGTTCAGAGACACAGACATGAGTATTAGCTACTTCATTTTGTTGAGATTGTACTTACATTTTCAATCACTTAAGGAGGAGTCCTATGTACGCTTATCTAGAAGAAAAGCCTATGGGATAGTCCTTCACCCATAATTATATTTTGATCAATTATTACATTTAAAAATTATCACACAATGAGTGAAACACATTATTGGATAAAGCATTATCCATAAATGCTCCATTTGCTCAATTAGGACATTTCTGATAATTTGCAATGTATCATGATGGCTACAGAAAAGAACCTGGTCCGAAAGCAGGAAGAAGATATAAGTCACCTCTGATATACCTGGGCATCTATCTAGGAGAAGGTTTATGAGGCCTGTACAAAATCAGAATAAAAGGGGTGGCACCACTGCATGTGTCTCACTGACCCAGCTTCTCCAAGTCTGCAAGGACAGATCCATTCAGATTTGGGGACACTACCCTTCTTCCCTTCCAAAAGTGCAGGGTGTTGGATTGGCCCAAAAAGAAAGCATTTTGACTGAGCACCTAAGTAAGAATTTACTTCTGAATAGATACTGTTGCTAGGACTACTGGGAATTTTGGACCCAATTCAGATCTGCAGAATCTTCATATTCTTCCATCCCACAGATGTAGTGGTTTTTTCTTCCTTGAGAGAAAAAAAAATTGGGGGGGGGGTTGAGTCTGGCAATGAAAACCCATTAACTGAACAGAAGATTAGGTAGATGAACAACAAAGCTAAGAGTTTCATCTCGTCCTTGGTGGTAAGGAGGTAATGAAAATTCCATGAAAGATAAAAAGCAAAGTTAACTTGAAAGGGATTGATTTGATGAAACTAAGGATAACGTAGTTTTATTCTGCACACATGATTTATGGGTTCTACATTTTAGTCTTCAGAACAAGGGTTCTGCTTCAGACTGGCCCCTGGGAGCTTAAGACGGTAATGGATATGGGGAATCCCATCCCTTTTGTGTCAGCTGAATCAAAATGCCACTGAATTTGTAGTGGCAACAGCCATTTTGGGTCAGAGTCTCGCATATCTGCATATTAACATTAGGACATTCAAAAGACAGACTTGCTATCAGTGTGACGGAGGTTCAAAACCAATTTACGACAAAGAGAATAGATGTCTCTGTGGAACACAGTGGGAAATTACAAAAACCTTATGAAGATGACATGCTTCTCCCAATTAGCTGCACATCAACATCTTTGTTGGTTTTATAGTTTCTTGAAAGCCTGTTTCCAAGAGAAAAGCTAATGTACTGTTAATGTACATTGTACATTAATGTAAGAGCTAATGTACTTAATCATCACTATCATCATTATTACCATATTTGGTAGAAGTCCTCTGCGTTCCTAGTTTCTGTTCCCTCCTCTTGGAGAAAAGCTGATAATAGAAGACTTTTACAGGAGAGCTTCCAATTCCAATCTGGAGTAATCTTGATGCCCTCTAGAAGGAAGCATCTATGAAATCAGTTCGTAGGGCAGTTGATCTCTTGGGAGATCCATAATCCTGTTATAGAAGATCAATATACCATACGTATGCCAACCCCCACCCTACCCCCAAAGTTTGTGTGTAGGCTAGAGTGGGAAGTAAAAACACAAACAAACCAGGTCATGGGAAGCCATTTCTGTAATATGGCCAAGAAAACTAGCATGGATGTGTCCAAGAAGTCACCAGGAATTCAATTCAATAGCATATCTTTGAAAAAGGCTTCAGTTTTCAGTTGATATATAACAGTTACAGTGGCATGACCCACCTCATATTAACTGTGATTCTCCTTCATTTGGTAGAGTAATTGTTAAAGATCCTAAATAATTAATCAATGACTTTGGGGGGCGTTGTCTTTTTTTCCCATTGGGAAGCTTCTGTTGAGGAGAGACCTGGAAGTTTGCCTTTGCTTTGGGGTTTCAGATAATTTCCCCATTCGAAACTGAAACAGGAACAGGCAACCTGCAGCCCCAAACTCCTATTTCCGTGCCTCCTGGAACCCTCTCTCATCTCAGTTGCTGGAAATCAGTGAAAGTTTCCTGTGTTAAAAGAAACTGCAGTGTAATCCTAAAAATAGGCATAACAGATTTTTTAAAGAAAACAAAAATTAACACTCCCCCTGCCCCCCACATCAGGACAAATGGAAGATGTTGCTTCTGCCAGTGTGCATGATATAGCTCCTCCTACTTTATTTCTTTGTCCCACCCCCATTCACCCACCCCATGTTAAGTGTGGTTCTTGCCCACCTAAATAATTCTCTGTTCTGGGATAGTGGCAGCAATGTGTGATGTGTGTATCCAAGAGCAGGCTGGAGAGAGCTTAAAATCTGACACGTTGTGGGGGTGTGTATACAGCTTTCTGAGCTCTGCTGTTAATTAATGGATTGACTTTCTAATTAATAAAAGAATTTATCTGGTTTAAGGAAAGCTACACTTCATTCTTGAGAATTTTTTTAAAAGTACTGTTAATTGTCACGCGTGTCCTTGGGGAACCTCAAACCTTAAGACTGCGTTAAAATAAAAACTCTTTTTTTCCTCCAAGAATGCAGATCTTAAGGAGGGACGAGAAGAGAATGTGAAAGCGGTGTTTGGAATAGGCTGTGCATTCTAAAGACTTCCCTGTTAATCAGAGCAATTACTAGAGGCAACGGCAATAGGGAAAGTGGTTTGGGGGTTGGTCCTCTGTGATGCATCTGTCAAAATAATTAGCAGGTTCCATTTCACACAGGTGACACCTTCCGTGGGAGTTGAACAATAATGGGCAGTCAGTTGGCAGCAGATTAATTTGCTCTACTGTAGGGGACGATAGTGGAAGCAGGCACTTAAACCCTGAAGATGTTTCTGTCTTTATGCACTTAATGCTGGTGGACAAATGTTTGAGTCACAGATGCTGGTAACCCACGATTTCCCTTCACAGCCAAGTGGGTTGGAGGAGTTTCGCTCCTGAATTCTCTTACTTCCCCGGTTTGTGCCAACTTGCTCCCATTTTTCATTCCTGGGCAGCTCCGCTGATGTCCCAGGTCCTCCAACGTTAGGATGTTACCTGGAGTTTAGGGGTAGAATGTTTTGCGTTGCTCCCAAGAGATTTCAGGTTTGATTCCTGGTATTTCTAGAAAAGGCTAAAAAAATCCTCCTCTCTAGGAGTCAGCAACAAACAATGTAGTCTGGAATGAACAACATCCTTCTTGCTTTATGAGAGTCTCAGGACAGTGGACACAAAACTACTTGGCTCGCTCACGCACCCCTCCCACTAACTCCTATAAGTATGGAGATGTGCACACTCCTCCTCCCTCCTGTCCTCCCTGTGTGTGGACTTCAACTACCAGTATTTTCAGTGATGGCAAGGTGGGGAAGAATCAGTCAGGAGTAGAAGTTGGATAAGCACCCCTCAAGGACCTGGGCTGCAGGCTGGCTTTGTACTAACCATTCTTAGCTTTTGGCTACCCTTAGTATATTGGGTGAACTCATCCAACTGGGGTTGTCACTAAATCATAAATAAAGCAAACCTGGATTAAACCCAATATGTGGTACCTTGAGTATAAGACGCTATCCTAAAATCCCCTTTCTTGTATTCATTGTCCCTAGAAGCACTTCCCAAAATATCTGTAGGAAGGTGCTACTCAGGTGAGAAAGACTACACAATTAGTCCCACCCTCTTAACACAACTGGCTAATATCCGAAGAAGGGGCTTTGGCAGGGGAAGGGCAGCCTTTGTTAATCTAGGCACCCTCTAGATGTGTGTACTTCCAAGTATTTTCAGCAATGGCCACGTTGGCTGGGGAATTCTATGAGCAGAAGTCCATACATCTGGAGGATACACTCATTGGGGAAGACTGATGCTGTCTTGCTCAACAAAGTTTTAAAATACCAGCTATATTAGTGTCTGTAAAATACTGGATTTTTCTTCCTAAGAACTTCCCAGTATCCCTACTGGAAGGAATTGGTGGTACTACCATCCTCAAGAGAAGTATGGAGTTGAGGTATTGGTATGAAGGTTAATCACAGAACCTCCCAATTGTGAATAGGCATGAATGAAGTTATTTAGAAATTCCGTGAAAGGCATTGGTCAGTTCCTCATCAAAGTTCTTGCTTGGAGTCTTCAAAGAGAATTTCATCTACTTTCATATCAGTTTCAGACACGGGGATCAAACCACAGATTTGTTCATGGAAAGCTAAGGCAATTGTGTACGGTTTTCCTTTCGGATGCTGCAGGCACCGTCGGAGGTAGGTATCGTAATAGCCCTTTCCTCTTCCCAGCCTGTTCCCTGTGGTGTCAAAACCAAGCCCTGGCACCAGGATGAGATCCAGACCATCTGTGGAAGAGAGGAGGCATTTGGGGTGAAATAACACCAAACTCACTTTTCATTTTTTTCCACTTTTGTTTTATCCCTGATCTGGAGGATGAGTCATGGCAACTGGACTTTTTTTCCTTTGGTTCAATACGTTTCGCTGCTTGTCCAAGCAGCGAAACATATCAAGTCAAAAAGAAAAGAAGTCCAGTTGCCATGACTCAACCTCCAGATAACTCCACCTGGATGACTGAGAATCTTCATCAACATTTTATCCCTGATTTGTCCAAGAAGAGGAATAAAATGTTTTTTCCCAGTTTTGACTTAGAACAAGCTGATTGACTTGGATTCTGAGGTCACAGCAATGCAACTTTTCAGTGACTGGGGCTCATTAATGTGGGGAAAAGCAACTAAGGGCCCCTAATAAAGACTTGCATATAGTAACAGCTAAATATCATCTTAAAACTATTTTTTCACCTTCGGCTGTCATTTCTTTTCCTCTTTTGGTTTTTGCACTCAGCTGCACCATGAAGATGTTTTCCCTTCTGGTTTTAATTTGTCTGAATACGCTTCTCACCTCTAAGGCTGTTTTTTTGGGGAGGGGGACTGGTTAAGTAGGATAGCTGCAAGAGTGGGCAATTTATTTCTTCTGCCAAGATTTTCCCAGCAATAATTAATTCTGCAATTGATCTATTATGTAATCAATAAGATAAAAACTCAGTTTCTGCCCTTGATATATATTTGCTTTTTTCTCGGAGGGGGTTGGCAATGGGAAAGGAAACAACAGCAACTGCTGAAGCATTTGGCTAGATGTCAGATAAAAAAGGAATAAAGGTTTAATTGCAGATCAGACCCCTGGTTGAGAAACATCAAGATCTCAGCATGGACCTGTCAGTAGCATCAAGAGCCTTCTGGATGGAACCCTGAAATTGCAATTTAAACTGGTAAATGTTTTTTCCGCTTGTAAAAGTGGTTTCTCCCCCCCCCCCATCACCACTCACACACTTGAAAATATATAGCTAGTTAAAAGAGTGTGTTCTTGTATGTACTTAGTTCTGAGAAGGCCAAAGGGTGTTTGTGAAATTTTCTCTCCAGTAATCTGCAGTCTTCCTGGTTTCTAATTTCTTCCATCCAATACTAATGGAAAAAATAAGAGGGGATGCCTTCAATGGAAGAGGAGTTTTAGACAGCCAAGGAAAGTCCACAGTGTTGGAGAGATGTGTTATAGCAAACATCACCACCAGATCAGGTCCCTCCAGCACTTCCAATAAGAAAGGATGCTCAATTAGCCCACCAAGAGAAATTTGAAGGAAATTCTCTAGCTCCCTGAGAATAAGGTAGAAAACCAGAAGCTTCTTTCGTGGGAAAGGCTTTGGAGAAATTTCAGCCCAGTGGTGATGTTTCTGCCATCCTACCTTCAAACCCACACAAGGGACCAGATTTTGCTGCTGTCCCATTTGCTTTCAGAATGGATGCAGTTATCTTTGCCAGGAAGAGCAAAGGGACGGACTGGCATTCTGGGCCCGTGCTGCATTCAAAGGCAACTGACATGTAGCTTTGCTTTATTCAGTACAGAGGAAGATTTGCCAAAGGGACACTTGAAACAAATGGAGCAGTGCAAGTTAGAGCAGCCTATTGAAACAAACTTATCATCTTGGTTGCTTTTTTTTTTGCAGCAGAGAAAAAGTTTTGGCACAAGACAGAAAAAGTCCAGACAAAATCAAATAAAACAACAAAGAGTGACTAAAAATAAATATGGAGCCTATCTATCAAAACAGGAAAACTGAAATATAAATAAAGTAATGGTCTTGGCAATAGTATTAAAGTTCAGTATGATCCAGCCTTCTGTGGATTTCAGTGGTTTCTGTCCATGCCCTTTTTTGCTTTTTCATTTTTAATTTAGAAACAAGAATATTCATCCTCCCCCGCAACAACATTTTCAAGATTAATAAATATTTCAAAATCACACTTCAAAATGAAAGACAAGTTTCTTGTCCCTGTGATTGCAAATACAACAGTAATGGGAGGGGAAGGTATGGCCAATGTATTCCTGAGACTGCAAAAACTAGAGGAATTCTTTAAATATTGGAATAATGTATTTATCTAATATAATTCACTGGATATAATTGAGAGGCTGGTGGATTCTAAATGACTGGAGGTCTTAGGCTAAGAGCGAGAGCGCAAAACCATTAAAAAAATAAGAAACAGGTCAAATTGTATGCAGAAGGCAATCTCTCTAAAATGAACAAAACATTATACAGAGGTGCAGTCCCTACCCTGCTTCAAGGCTGAGAGAAGACCCAGGTTTTCAATAACTTTCTGAATGTCATCAGGGTGGGACCCCTGCAGATTTTTGGGGAAAACTATTCCAGACGACCCGAGCTGCAACAGAGAAGTAGTTTGCCCATTGCATTTAAGGTTGCCCCAACTGTGCACAAGCAACTGAAGAGTAACTCCCACTTAGCGCGTATAATTACTGATATGTATTAATAAAGCAGTGGTTCTTATTCCCATTTTACAGGACCAAAGACTGAGGCAGCACCTCAGGAATTCTTTCAACAATACCTTCAGCGCAGCCCGGGCAGCAGAGTTTGCCCACGCTCGGCTTACAGAAAATCTAAGGCCGAGGTAAGCTGAGTCATTTCCACTGATGACGACAAGAGGGAGGAAGAGAAACGTGCCTCTGCTTCCCACGTTGGCTCCAGCAACTTGGCTGAATACCGAAGATGGAGTCACTAGCAAATTTCTACCGCGTGCCCAACCACTGTAGGTGATTCATATGCTAGCTCTGTAAAAGTGATTAAAACGCCGAAAAATTACGGATGGACCTGAATGCCTTCTTTTAATGCTAGCAGGGATGAGAAGTGGTCCTGGGACGCGCTTTCCATCAACTCAACACATGATTTGACACCACCAGCAGGGGGCATCAGCTTTCTGCCCGCATCTTTTTCCTCCTTACGTAAGCTTTTTAGTTTAACATCTCCAGGCTGGAACTAAATTGCTTCCTCTCGCTTAATTATTTCTGTTTCTGGCTGGGAGCTGCAATTTATTTGTATATTGGTATCAATGCACTTGGATGGGTGCTCTATATGTAATTACTGTCATGGTGTTTTCACATCTTCTGCCAAGGCTCTTCAGTTGAATTGATTAAAAGGAAAAAAAACCTTATATGATTTGTGAATGAAAGAAGCAGAGCCAATCCATTCCTCCTTTGACTAATATGGATTAAATCCTCCCAAATGTTGGGTGCTGGTCTTTTATGTAATAGAGGTGTCTGACTGTCCAATTCAGGTACTTGATTTGAAGGCAATTTGATTGAATCCCCAAATTAAATCAGATTTCCAAATCAAAGCAGCAAATTATTGGAATTGTTGAATCAAATAGAATAGACGAGTTTGCACAAGTGCAGAAATGTTTTCTTCCTTCCCCTGGATTGATCCTCCAAATTACAGTTGAAGTCCAAATCAGGTTGCAAATCCAAATTCACTGATTCAAATCAGATTTTGTCCGGTTCACACACCCCTAACATATAATTTATATTTTAGGCCAAACTAGATACTATGCTACCATGGGTGGCTGTTCACAAATGTGTAACTGCTTCTTCCTTGTTTCTGTTTCTTTATCAGATAGAAATTGTACAGAGTTTCTACATTTTTCTATTCTTTGCTGTGGTAAATTAAAATTTGCATTTTCAGCCTATATTTGTTTGCTCTAAAATAGAGAAAGACATTCGTTGGGCTTCTAAAATCTAGATTGTCTTCTACAACAAACATGAACCCCCCCCCCCCAGATAAAGTCAAGGATCAGTTGTGAATTAAGACACACTTTCTCCTTCTGCTGCCCTCCAGATGTGTTGAGACTACAGTTCCCAGAATTCCCCACCAAGGTAGGGGACCATTAGTTTAGGGTAGGGATACCAGAAATGTGGACAGCCAGCAGATCTTTTATGATCCTCAAAGTGGTTTAGGACAAAAAAACTGACCTAGTATTTTTGTGTTGGGGAGCTGATGAAGATTTTAAGGAGTGAAGTGGGTGTTTTATGCCCCAATCTCCCTCCCAAAAATCAGAACTACTTTTGGTCCTGAGTCTGAAAAGGCCATGTTAATCCTTAAGTAAACCTAAGTTTTATAATGCTGGTTTGGAGGCACAGAATTAAAGAAGTGGTTAGCTTTGAGATTGTACCCAGTGCAGAAATTTCAACATCAGAAAGAAAAGTATCATTCAAACAATAATCCACTCCTGGTTTTTTTCACCTGTGCTTGTGATCCTTGCTGTGCTTGACTTCCATACAAATAGTCTGATTCAAAATAATGTTGTTTCTAAAAATCTGTTGGGTGGTTTATCGGGGACGTTGTATTTGACTGATATATCTCCAATCCAGGAAAGGTTCAACATTGTAATTTGGAAGCAGATGTGGCTGGAACTCTTCTAATGGAGATGAGGCATTGAAGTGGATCCTCAGAAACTGGACGGTTTAGAACAATCCTGGATCTTAGAAAAGGAAATACTGCAGATCAGTTGCTCCAGGTATGTCTGTCCTGCTCTGAAGCAGACCATTTTTTGCCTCTTTAAGCTAGGATATGTAATATCAATATATTTAAACTAGATTGATCAAATAGATACTGTAATTCTAGTAGCATGGAATACCCCCCCCCCCAAATTATTATAGTTTTATCCTCTTCCTGACACTGAGGGACAGTTATTAGTTCAGTAAACTGCAGGTTATTCTCAGATAGCAACATTTTATGTTGTGAATTGTAGTCTTGCTTTGCAAAGGGACAATCCTGTTAGCCTCCAAATAACTTGACAGACACACAATGCAGTTACTATTAAGGAAAACTCCACTGGGCTTAGTAGAGCTTATTCCCAGGTAATTATGTGTAGCATTGCATTCTGATTAAACTGCATTTTGCACAGAAGCTCCTCCACTGAGCACCAACCTACTTTCAGGTTCTAGGAGTATAAATAGATAATAACTGATCAAGGGGTATTCTTATTTGATGAGTCTCTGTAATGAGGGCTGA